GGATGGGGGGATGAAGGGTGGGAGGGATACTGGGAAACATGTTGGTGGGAAATGGACACTGGTGGAGAGATGGGTATTCAAAATTAATTAATTAATTAATTAAAAAAAAGAAACAGATCAAAGTACTTCTATCTATTGGGCGCCTACTGCATGCACCCTGCTCTAAGTTCCTGTCACAGGCACAAGGGCTTCATCAGAATTCAGAAGAAATCTCCCTGCCCTTGTCGCATTTAACATTTTAGGTAAAACCAGCCACATGATTTGGAGGACCCAGAGCAAAGGTAAACGCGGTTCTCTTTACTCCAAAATGACTAACCCATCAATATGGTGAGGGCAGAGAAACAAACCTGCCACAGGTGCCTTCAAAGTGCAGAGCTGGCGGCCTTCAGTCTCCCTCTCGTGAGGGCTGGGTTGTGGGATGGTGGTTTCTTCATTCTCTTTACAGCTTGTGGAGCAGCTGGTCTTTCTGGGGGAGTTTCTGGGGTCCAGAGTGGAAGCTGGTGAAGAATAGGAAGCAATCGAACCTTCCCTGGAGCCGTGCACACGCTCTCAGTCGGCGCATGCTCTCGGGATCTCCTCCCAGTTGCTTCTCCCTAGTGCTGACCTCTCTAGTTCTTGGTTGCAACTGGACTGCTCTTCGCTCAGTGGTGGCGGGTGGGGGCGTGGCAGTCCGTGGCTTTCAGGTACCCCACAGCTCCGAGTTCAAGGGCAGTGACCAGGGGCAGTCTTAACCTCCTCCTGCCCGACTCTCTAGACTTATCTATGTGGCCAGAGGCAGCTCCTAACGCCTCCACAATGCCTGTTCTCTCAGCTCACCCTTGTAGGGAAACAGGACAAAGGCAGCTCTGTGTCAAGGCCTAGGCATGGACCCAAATATTCAAAGCCTCCTTATTTTCTCCTGGTCGCACTCCCAACGTCCCACTGTTTTGCCTAAACCAAGGACTCACTTCCTTCCCAACATACGCTGCCTGGCAGAGACCCCACAGAGGCTTCAGAAGTTGGCCCAATTACCAATAATTTATACAGATCGATTTGAGAATGCCTGGACCCCGCAGTAACATGCCAAAACATACCAAGTAAATTTCAAATAACACTTATATTTAAAATCATCAGAGCAGGCATGATATAATGGATGGTGTGTATGAAGTGGCTCTCTGGGGAAGGCACTCTTTGGGGTCACTCTGGTAGCTTGGGGGAACTGCCAAATCAACGCTCACTTTTTCACTTCAGTTGTAAAAGTAGAAATCCTCTTGCAATGTCACATTTGTGGGAAACAGCGAGTAGGGCGTCTTGCATGTGGCCGACCCTGGTTTGATTCGTCTGTCCCTCTCGAAGAGCCCGGAAAGCTACCGAGAGTATCCCATCTGCAAAGCAGAGCCTGGCAAGCTCCCCGTGGCATATTCGACATGCCGAAAACAGTAACAAGTCTCACAATGGAGACATTACTGGTGCCCGCTCGAGCAATGACCAACGCGAATACAGTGCCACAGTGCTATACTTTTGTAATTTTCAAGTAAAAATGAAGGGACATAATTCAAACTTTTGAAAGCAGGAGATCCTTGCAATCGCCCCCCCCAACTAGCGTTAGGCTAGGAAGCTCGTGCTTCTAGTTCCACCAAATAGTGCTCAATGTGTGGTGAAAAATGATATAGAGTCGTAAGGTTTGCCATATTGCCATGGAGAGATTAGCAGCCATTCTGGGCTATTTCCTTCCAACCCTGTGATCTTTGAGATTGGGGACTTGACTCTTTAACACATAAATAAACTTAGAAGGACATGTTTATGGTGTGGTGTAGAAAGTGCCAGGCTGTGCAAACTAACCATTATTTTCTCAAGGACCACGACACTGAAGTTTTCAGCTAAGCAGGAAAGAAGTGTATTTAAAAAGTAGTGGCCACATGAAATATTTGAATATTTTATTGGCAGCACCTTGCTTAACTTACTTCCCCAAAGATCTTGTGCTTTGCATCCTCATTACTGAATGCTTGCACTTGAGAAGTAATATGCTTCTCCGGACTCCTTCTGATGACCACAATGCATCAAGATATAAAGGGAAGAGCCAGTGAAATATTTTTACTAAAGACCTTCTCCTGCAAAAACCATCCCAAATAATTGTGCTGCAAAGCATCCACCTCGGCTATTTTCCTTCTTAGAAACTTGTAATGATGTGCATTTCAAAAGCACTGCGATCTTCTTGTGCTGAGACACCCTCAATACTGATGGTGTTGCCTGATTATAAGATAAATCACCTGGAGGAACTTGAAAGGACTCTTCCTTTTGTGAAGAATACAGACCATCAAAGGTGGTCTCAGACTGCCCACCAGCATGAACAATCCCCACAGTTATAATTGAGTCTCAGCACATTCTTTTTAGTGTGTCTATTTATGGCAGGCAAAGAATTTGTGCGACATAAGGGCTTTACAAATAGCTTCAATTGTCAGTTAAGCCAGACACCATTTCTAGATGCCTTCCTTAACAAAAGAGATACTAGAGTTGTGAACAGAATCCTCACTTAGCATGTGGTGACAAAATAAAGCAAAGGACAGAAAAAGAGATGGATTGTTGCAAGGCCAACTATTAAACACAGTGTCCTTTTGAAAGCCCAGGAGTTTAGACCCTCTAGGAAAACCCTATCTACTAAATCATTTTCAAGAAACTGCTTGAAGGAAACTGGAAAGTCACTAGAAGCTACAAGAGCAATAAGGACACACATTAAATCTTGGTTAATCTTCTCATCCAGTGTGATTGATTATGTGTAGTTCCACATACCTCTTTCTCCAAAATTAAGGCTTTAAGATTATTTTTGTCTTAACTCTCATAGCACTGCATTCTGATTTCATATTTCAAAACACTAGTTAAGTGTAATTATATTTGTGAAATAGCCTGAGCCACACAGTTCATTTATTTCATAATTAAAACAGACGGCCTTCTCCATTTGGGATGAGAAAATAGTTTCTTCATTTTTATTGGAAAATAAAGAACTGCTGTGCAGAAAAGCTTTGTGTGTGTGTGTGTGTGTGTGTGTAAAATTTGATTTGGGGCCACACCTGGTGATGCTCTGGACTTAACTTCTGTCTCTGTCTTCTGTGTGTGTGTTTGTGTAAAATTTGTTTTGGGGCCACACCTCGTGATACTTCTGTCCCTGTCTTCTGTCTCTTTATGAGTGTGTGTACGTAGTAGCACTATAGCACTATCCTCCCGTTGTTCATCGATTTGCTCGAGCAGGCACCAGCAACATCTCACAACAAATTGTGAGACTTGTTACTGTTTTTGGCATATCAAATACGTCCTGGGTAGCTTGCCAGGCTTTGCCGTGCAGGTGAGATATTCTCGGTGGCTTGCCGGGCGGAGGAATCAAACCCTGGTCGGCCGCGAGCGCTGTGCTATCGTGTGTGTATGTAACATTTGGTTTTGGGCCACACCTGGTGATGCACAGGGGTTACTTCTGTCTCTGCACTCAGAGGTTACACCTGGAGGGCTAAGGGACCTATGGGGTGCCAATGATCCAACCTGGATTGGCCACATTTAAGGCAAGTGCCCTAACTACTGTACTATCGTTTCTAAAAAAAATTATGACCTTAACTTGGGAGGTTTCTTCATGATTGCTGGAGTTCTACAAACACATTTATTTATTCTTAATAATTCTATGGGATACACGCCTTTACAATGAGGAAAGTGAGGCTTAAAAAGAGATCAAAGATCTTGGTCAAGATAACAGTAAGTGATGAAGCTCTTGACTTGGAAGGCTTTATTATCAGGGTTCCATGCAATGTCCCCCTGCTCAAACATTTATATGCATATGAATTAGATGATGACCTTTTAAGATGTACAATTTGAGTCAGTAGGTCTAGAGTGATATTTTGCAATACACCTCTTAGTGATAATGAGGCAGCTGGCTCATAAACACTTTTGAGTAGCATGGTAGTCTACAGCTGCAAAGCCAGAATTCCTTGTGTTTCAAAAGAATTTTGATAGTTCATAGAAAAGAATATTTGATAGTTTATTGATAGCTCATAGAAAAGAACATACTATGATCTATCAGACACTAGAAGTCAGACCTTCTCACTTGATATCTTGACCTTGATACATTTGAGACAACACTGAGACCAAAAAAAAAAAAATCCAGAAGCAATAGTGGATATGGAATGCACACACTTCCATGTATTTTTACAGTAAAAAAATGCATTAAAAATCTTTCACAAAAGAACTCGAAAAATATAAGTAGAGAATGAAATTCTCCCCTCAACATTCTTTCAGTTATCAATTGTGTACTGGGTAGGAAAAGAATTCCTAAATGGTTTGAGTTGATCATACAAAATACTTGTCTATCATCTCTTGTCCAGACATTTACCAGATGAGGGAGATCAGGGATAGTAGGCTCACAAAGATCAGTCTCTGACTTAATGTTACAGTAGTTTAGAGATTTTCTTTCTACCTAATGCATACATATTTCCTGTACAAAGCAAGTCAGATGGGTGGAACTCAGATGAAACTACTACCCCAAGTCTTCATAAACTGAGGCAAGCCCAGGTGAGTAGCACATAGATCAAGCCCAGGTGAGTAGCACAAATGTCAAATATCATCTCTGAGAGTGAAAAAGACATTAAGATGTAAACCTCGGGATATAGTTCAAAATCCACCTTGATTTCATTTATTTAACTCTCTAGATCACAACTGAACACATTGATCATTTAATATCACAGATATTTTTTTTAAGTGAGAAAATTCCTAACCGTGAAGTTTTAGGAATAAATCTTCCAAATCGGCTTCTAGGAAATTGATGAAAAATGATATTATTATTCAGGTGTATTCTCCCTCAGTCTTACAACTCAGTGTGTTCTATGTATGGAAAAGTTTGATAAAAATAGCAGTACAGACTTTTTCCTTCCTTTTAGTTCTAGAGTGTATATTGTGTCTGTTCGGGTAAGCGACTTGTTTTGTGAATGTTCACACAACTACCGTTATTCATTCTAACACTACATATAAATCCACAAATCAAATAAAGCTATAAACAATGTAATATTTATATATGCATAGTGTTTTATAAAAAGATTGGCCCACATACTGCTTCTCATCAATACAGAAAGAGCATTATGTCCATAGCACACAGCAAGAAATGAGTGAAGAACAGAGAATGCAAACAATTGCTTAATAATTCACAAGCAGTCTCACCATGGTGGAAATGATGATACTCAACCCAACTAAAGCTTAGAGAATTACTTATAAGTCTCCCATTTTAAAACAGATTTACATACCTGATTTAGTTTACATTAAAATATATCCCAATGAATCAATTTGTTCCATATTCAGAAATATAAACAAACACATATCACATTCCTCACAGCTAAATTTTTTGTCATAAATTCTCTTTTATACAAGAAAAAGGCAACAGTTTTTTTTTCTTAAAACAGGCTCTATTAATTACAGTTTTAAACTCTGTACACACAATAATCGGCTGGTTTTCTCCATTTTTTGTTTTGTTTTTAATTTTTTTTTAAAACAGTACCATAGAACAACAGTGATTGACTTGCAAAGTTTTGTGTCTGTATGGAAAATGCAAAACAGTACTACGGAAATACACAATGCATTGTAAGCAGCAGTTTGCTGTAGTGATCCAACAGGTACAAGCAAACATTTTGGCTCAGCTAGGCAGTAATCTATTTCAACCATCCTGGGGCTACAGCTGACCCAGCGGGCCTGCAAGTGGGTCTTTTAAAGAAAACAACAATAAAAAACTCCACGTTTTGTTTTGCATCCAAAGACTCAAAGGACAGTGTCATGAGGGTAGAGGTTTGCCAGCTAGATCTAGAATGTCTGAGAGCTCATCCTTGTCCCTGCTTCGGTCATTCTGGAGACATTTTGGATGGTTTCAAAGGGAAAAGGGCATTTCTAAAGAAGGGCATCCAAATGATGCTCACTTTTGAAAATGGAGAGGTTCCTTCCACCAACATTTATCCCCTACTCCCCAGCATGGCAAGGGCAACTATGGGCTTATGCTAAAAGCGGGAAACATACTTTATGCCTCGGGATCTTTATGGCTCTCATACAGTGGGCACATTCCATCTCTTCCAATGGAACCAATGGAAGGTTCCCATTCCAACTCTTCAGCCTCAACTCAGACAAGACGGCACAGCAAGTGTCTTTTGTCCCTTCCTTCTACTGGTTGAGCAAAGTGGTGAAGGTACTGCCTTTAACGAGAGCTTTTTAGATCTTGGTGATGCCAATGAACCCACCCATCTTCCTGCTTGTGCTGCTTCAGGTAACAGCAGCTAACCTTCTCCTCTCTGTCCCTTTCTCTGGCCAAGGAGAGTACTGATTGTTCTCTGAAACGATTCTAACTCAAACACATACCATTTCATCGTGCTATGTAATTTCGATATAAATATCCTTCATTCCCAATAGTAGTCTCTTTATACAGTCTGCATCATTTTAGGATCATGGGCAATCCTAATCCACCCGGAGTCCTCCGCTTTTACAAACATAACTTTTGCCTTTTGCTCTTTTTTTATTTTTATAAGAAAAATGCCTAACTATAGTCTAGCACTACATGACTACATAAAGTCTGCATCAAATTAATTCAACTGAATCAATAATTTTCCTTACTTAGAGAAAACGATCAACAGCCCCATTTAACCAGGAGAGAAAAAGATGCCTCCCCCCCAAAGGGAACGATTCTTGCCAATTCTACAGCTTACATAGAAATTAAATCGATATCTCTTGGGGGGTGGGGGCAACATTTGGCAAATGATTTCCCAAAAAAAAAAAAAGGTGCGCATCGAAAAATACTCTCTTTAATATGATACATCAGGCACAATACTTTCCAGGTCGATCTTTTCCTTGGATCTCAAACGCCTCGGTGTTGCCACTCCCTGGGACCGCTCGACGCTTCTTCGTGGAAGTCGGGAAGGAGATTCCCGGCGGGCCTGCCACCTCCCACCCGGGAACCTGGGCCACGGCCACGGCCGGCCGGCCGGCGGGGGTCTCAGATGCTGAGGTCGGTGCTGCACTCCTTGTAGGGGCGCCGCCTCTGCTCGGGGGGCTGCCTGGCGCTCCGGCCGGCCTCGGCCTTGGGGCCCGGCTCCTCCCGGGCGCGCTGGCCGCCGCGGTCCTCCCGGCTCCTCCGCTCCGGGGAGCGCGCGCGCCTGCGGTCCGAGGACTTGGCGCGCCGCTCCGGGGAGCGCCGGGGCTCCGGGGGCCGCTCGAGCGAGCGGCGCCGCCGGCCGGGCGAGCGCTCGCGCCGGCTCTCGGGGCCGGCGGCCTCCCCGCGCCGCGCGCGCGGCTCCCTGCGCTCCAGGGTGGTGTCGGCGCTGCGGGTGCCCTCCCGCCGCGGCTCCGGGGACCGCCTGCGGGGCCCGGCGGGCGCCCGCTCCGGGGGTCGGCTGGCCCCGCCGCCCGCCGGCTTCCTGCAGGTCCCGTTCCAGGTGCGATGCTCGCCGGGGGGCCCGCCGCGCTCCCTGCTGCCCCGGGCGTCTCTCCCGCGCGCCCGCGTCGGCCCCGGGGGCGAGGGTGGGCGCAGGTCCCGCGGGCGGCTGGGCTCGGCGGGCGGAGGCTGGGCCGCCCTCACTTCCGAAGCACCGGGTGCGCCGGCGGCGGGGCCGGGCCGGTCGCTGCTGGGGTCTGCGGGGGCGAGAAAGGAGAGCGAGTTGGGTAGGGGGCCTGCGGCTCCGGCCCCCCCGCGTGCCCACAAGCGAGACCTCATTAGTCACGACAGACAGACAACTGTTAAAGCGGTCGGAACCGAAGCCGACTGAACCCGAGCCCATTAGCAGCAGCTACTCGGGGGCTAGAAGCTAGCGTCGAGGGCGATGGGCATCTAGCCCGCTGCCCCTCCGACTCCGGGCAGAGGGCATTTCCAAAGCTATGGGATCCTACCCATGGAACTGGCCTCTAACGGCAGGGCCCAAAGAACCGGTCTAGAAGCATCCAGACGTCCCCCACTTCATCCCTGCTCCGCCTCCCCCACCCCCCCATCAACCCTTCTCCCCTTCCTACCACTCCTCCAAGCATTTTGTTTTGATTTGCTCAAATGATGACACTCTGGGCTACTGACTTAAGGAGATTTGAGGGAACTTTGGGGGAGGGGGCACTGTAAAGAATCTGGTTTGATTTGAGCAGATTAGGTAAAAGAACTCTAAAAAAAAATCACTGCATTGCGTTGAGTCCTGAGAGTTGAGACATATGTGTGCAGGGTCTACTTCTACTCAGAAAAAATAAGCCACAGTGGTGGGCAGAGAATTACGGAGGCCACACACTGCCATACTGTGAACGATTGGCAAACGTGACATGTAGGTGAGTGCCCATTAAACATTCACTCTTCTTTAGTGAGTATTATGCAACTATTTTTCTCTACTTTTTGTGTGATCATTTTCAGTTTTCAAAATATGGAGGCTCCTGACAGAGAAAAGCGTATGAAAGAGATTGATATTAGATGGGGCTCAGATAGTCGTTACATTTAGAGGCATTTTCCTTGCACTAATGAAAGCAGCCATGATTATGTACCGTGGAGTCACTGGTTTGCTTCTTACTACATCGAGACGTTTGCAAATTTATACGCAGGCAGCTTAGGGAGTTTCCTATTTATTATTCAACAAGTTGAAATGATACTACAAATGTCCTAGGTAGTATCAGAATCTAGGAGAGCTTGTTCAAAATGGGGAGAGCTCATTCAAAACTAGACCCAAGTTGTACACATCAGACCATTCTAGACAAGGGGCCTGAAATAATGAAACAGGCCTGGGTGACAGACACAAGGGGCTCATGGGTCCTCTTTCAAGAGGGAATGAAGTCAATGTTAATGAATTAATCTGTTTCATGAATAACATCCCCCCAAAATAATCTAAGTTTTAATACATGCAAGACTAAAGCCTTAGAGGGGTTGTCAAACGTATTTGGTAGTACCCTAAGAGAAAATATTTTGGGTCTTGGGGGGGTCAACAGATAGAGTAACTATCTGATACTCTACTTTGACATCACAATGTACAAGGAGAGAATGCATAAAGGGGCATGAGTGGCTGTGCTCAGTAAAACTTACAAAAACCATTGTGAACATAGAAATGAATGTGTGAACAGGAGATTTCATATTTCTATCTACCTATCTATGTATGTGAGGTGTGTTGAGGAATGTGGGTTTGTTCTTCCTGAATTAACATACATGTGCTTACAGTCACTTTAAGATGTAGGTATGGGAAGGTACTTACTAGCATCACTCTCCTATACCTAACCTTAGGATTTCTTACACCTACTTTAAGACAAGGGGGAGCAAGACTTTAACAAGGTCAGTGGTGTACTTACAATTCAAGGAACGTAGGGTGCTCAGAATGAATTGCCAAACATATCAAATAGAGCTAAGCGGAAGCAATGAGGAAATTAGGCCACAGCACAGAAACACCTAGTATTGATTGAGCTACAAACCGTAGTTTGATTATGGCCCATAAGGTAGAAGCAAGCCTCCCCGAGCTTTTCATTTCTCATACATGCAGCGATATTGGGAGGTATCATCGCTGTAGAAGGGAGGGCCCAGCACCAAGAACAGTCAGAAAGAGAAAGAGAGAAAGAGAAAAAAGTTGAACGTTTAGATTCCCTATAACAAAGAGTAAAGAAACAAAAATCATCTGCATTTGTTAACATAGGGTAAAGAGAGTTTATTTGTCCAGTCAGACAGTCTAAGGCAACACTCAATAAGGCTGCAGAGACCGCAATCAGAACAGTGACGTTTCAGACAGCCATGTAAGGTGACTCAAGAACCCAGACAATGGATGCATCCTGTTTTCTTTTCTTTTCTTTCTTTCTTTTTTTTTTTTCAAACAACTGGAACAATGACAGGCTGGCATAGGAGAGCATTAACAATAAACAACAAAAGAACAAAGTTCCCTCCCTCCCCACCAAGACCGCGGCAGTTAAATTAAGTACAAAAAACTTATTACAAAAATAGCCTCACAGAGAAGCAGGTTCCAATCAAGTCAGAAAAATATTGGAACTTAACATATTAGAACCCATTTGTGACTCTAATCAACAGAATTAGAGAGATTTAGTCCAAATGACGTATGGAGACATTACAGCAGCACAACCCTGGCATGTTCAACCCTTTTTGGAAAACCGAGTATTTATATGATCTTTATTTTTAGCCCAAAGAACATTGGTTAGTGTTGGATTTTCATCCTCAGTGCAACAGACATAGGTTGAGAAGGTACACAGGTTACTGATGATGACTCTCAAATGAAATATCACATCCAACAGAAGCATAGGGAGACAGAAAAGGGAGACAGCATTACACAGTTTCAGTGGCATCAATATACCTAGGGGTCAGAGATCTAGTACAGTGCACAGTTCTGGCATCTTCAAGTTGTCAAAACACCTCCCCGGGGCATGGCCGTATCTAAAGGGGCCTCCTCTCCACCCCCCCACCCCCTTCCTGATTTTGCACCTCGTATTTTGCACCTGTATGAATGTCCAACACCTGGGAAAGCTGACCTGCAACAGAGTTAGCTTGCTCCTTGCGCTGTGTCAGCGTTAAGTATCTCAGCAAGTCCAAAATGCAACTGGGAATTGTGCAGGATGACTTTTTTTGTTCCAGAAAATTACAGATAAATCCCTAATAAAGGGGACCAACGTATGTGGGGATCATTCAATCACAGTTTCTATAGAAACTTTCTGTAGACCTTTGGTTGGGAAAAAAAGCCCTACATCTAGGGCATAACTTTTACTTTCTTTTAAACAGGAATCTCAAATAAATAGGACATAATTCTTATAATATACAGTATTTTTCCATTAGCATTCTAAGCTATGTAGAGATCGTTGCTGTGTACTCAAATCATGTCTATAGGTATGACAAAGGAACTCTTATGTATAACCTGCTTTCCCCATAGGAAAGGTATAGTAACATGTTTCCCCTCATGAGGAGCACTGGGAAGCAATTTCATCCTTTATCATCGAAAAACATATGGCTAATATTACAACAGCTGTGTTTGTTTTGTAGTAGTGGGCTCAGGTGTTCTGATTTGGGGCAGGGACCAGTGGGGAATGCAGTAGTATTCAGAGCAGAAAGGCAGTAAGCAAGGCCCCCAAATCATCTTAAAATTTCACGCCTCTTAAGTAAAGATATCAGATAATCAAAAACTTAAAAAAAAAACCAAAAAGGAATTGTGCCTCAACATATCACTCAGGAAACCTGCTTTCCTGCTTCTTAAAAGTATAGTCATTTTGTGCTAACAATTGGATCTGAGAAACAGTTTGGCACAGTTCAAACAAACATTCCTTCGCTCTTGGCCCGACTAGACAAAAAGTTCTCTCTGATTATCAGAAAGGGGGCTATAAAGATCTTGTCTTAGGCCATTGCCCCAGTCCACATAAGCAAGCAAAAGGATGAAATGTGTAGATTTCAGAACAAGCGAGGCAAATAATCACATGGTGCGAAAGGCTGGTAAGACCCTGGTGAACGGGGGAACAAAAGACTTTCCTGCTGCAGTTCTGGAAACACATTCATGGAGTCATGCCAGGGAAGGAAGGAAGATTTTCATAGTTTGACCCACCATATTCTGGTACTGAGCCGTCTCCCCGCTTCAGAAACAGACGCACTCTGCGGCCACCATTCTTAATCAGTTCTATAGCCCGAGAATGCTTCATGTTTTTGGTGGTCTCGCCATTGATCTCTAAAATTTCATCACCAATCTGCCAAACGACAAACAAAATAAGACATTACAAAAGGGTTTTGCCAATAATTGAGGTGCTTCACGACTGAAAATCGTTTCATTTATTCATTTATCAACTATCTGTTGTTTATGTTCCAGAAAATCTACTAAAAACAAAAATAAAACCAAAAGAAAACCCCAAGACCCCTGCCGTTGTAGAAATAATATTTCAGTGGGGAAACCCAATGAAGACATCAGACAAGTTCGTATACATTAGATAGAATAAGTGCCAATTAAAAAAAATGCGGCAAGGGGAATATTTATTTTTGAAAGGAGAAGAATAGAGTAGGTAGGGCTCCTAAGATGACCCACAATTACTCCATCTTCTATGTTCACATCTCCTTTGCTTTGAATATAGGTTAAAATGACTGGCTTCTAACAAATGTTGACTATAACAAAAGTGATGAGAGGTCAGATGTTACGTACATGTTGTGAATGGCCCAGTGGAGCCTAGGATATGGAAATAAAGGTAGACTCTGTCTGACAACCCAGGTGAAATGAATTCTGCCTCTAGTCCTGTGAATTATGAAGAAAATCATTCCCCAGTTAAGCCTTCAAATCAGACTGCAACCCCAGTTTACACACTGATGACAGTATTTACTATGTATTAGTTTCTATTCTAGACACTAGAGATAACAAACTAAAAAGACATGCCAAACCCTTGCTCTAGTAGCGGATATAGTCTAGAAGGAAGAAAAGGAAAAGCCCTGGATTTGGAGGTGAAGATCTTGGATTTGAGATCTGTCACTTGTTAGCTAAGGGCCTGCATCCTTTGCCTCTCTGGAGTTTACTTTTGTATCCAAATACCCACAAGTCACCAAGTTTTAAAGTTTTAAAATTGGATAATTCATGTCAAACACATCCTGTGAACCACATGACATTATACAAAATATGAAAATAATAGTACAATTAGAAACTTTAAAAGGACAAGGAAATGTGTAATGTGTTTAAAATTTAAACAAAAGGCATGAACTGTACATATATTAAATGTTACATATACATAAACTGTACATATATTAAGTGTATATATTAAATGTTTATACGTTTAAACAAAGGCACATATATAGGCACTAATTGCACATATATAAGACATATACCAGGAAAGTGGCACATAATTTGACCCTCAAAACTATATTTTTACTGTACAATGTTTTCATCATTTAAAAACTATTAACTGGGGCTGGAGTGATAGCACAGCGGGTTGGGTGTTTGCCTTAAATGCGGCCAACTCGGGTTTGATCCCCAGCATCCCATATGGTCCCCTCAGCACAGCCAGGAGTAATTCCTGAGTGCAGAGCCAGGAGTGACCCCTGTGCATTGCCGGGTGTTACCCAAAAAGCAATAAATAAATTAATTAATTAAAACTATTTAACTTTCTACTTTTTTCAATGGTAAAATATTAAAATTTTTAACCTGAAGAAACTTAAAAATCAAGATTGGGCCTTAAATGTTCAAACAACAGTTACTATTTCCACTTTCTGTTTAGGCTCAATTTCATTCATTGTTTTCCTTTCCTGGCTTTGATTTCCTGGGCTTGATTCAATTACTTGCAAATTGTTCCCTATGTCTATGTCTAAATCCATGTGACCTGTCAAGAGTGAGCAGATAATTTTTTTAAGTCATTTACTCTGCCCAGGAGAACAATATATTTATATACAGCAACAGATATTAGATGTGTATGCAGCAGAGTGGACATTTGGCATTTGCCCATATAGAATGTAAATCTTTAGCTATAAGACCACCTTGAAATATTCATGCCGTGTGGTTGTCATTCCTGTACTGGGGCAGAGTTGACTCATTCCTGAGCCATGGGTAGTAAATAGCCTAGCCTAAAGGGCCTCCACCAACAGCATCTACGTAACAGCTCTCTAAGCATTCCAGTGTTGCAGGAATTCCTCCAAAGTGATGTGCCTGCCACATGAGAGAAAGTGTTAAGAACTATGGAAATGGGATTCAGAAAATACCTACTTCAATACGTTTGTAAATTACTTTAATCCTGCATTCAATCCCAAGAATTGGAAGGGCTTACCAAACTTTAGAAGATATAACTATACGTTAAGAAGAAATTAAAATTAGGGTGGGAGTTTTGCATTTTGAGTATCATGAGAGCTGTAGAAAATGCGATTTGCATGAAGATGGTTTTAGCACTAAGAGGACTTACTTATAGCTATTCCAGACTCCTCTTCCTACTTACCCTCATTTTTCCACACCGTTCTGCAGGACCATCCTCTGCTAAGCGCAGCACATAAAGGTCCATGTTATACTCTCGGCCTCCTCGAAGACTAAAGCCAAATCCCTTGGCTCCTCTTTCCAGTTCCACAGTGTAAAAGTCCTGCTCCTGTTTCATAAATTAAATGCGTTCATTCTGAGAGAATTTTTATGCATACACATTTCTATCTCTTCCCATTCTCTCTTATACCTATTTGACCAAAGGAAAAGGCACGGTCTCTTTCCCCTGCTCAGTGATTTTCAATTATTTATTAATATTCATTAACCTTAGAAGTCTGGAGATCCAGAATTTGAAAACATTCACAAGTGTGCCTGTGGACTGCACACCAGCATGCATACATTAAACCAACATGCATATATTAAAATTTAACCAGCAAGGCTGCAGTTCGCATTTGTGTAGGGAAATTCTTCATTTCATTCTTCATTTCATATGGCTGGATGTTGAGCCTCCCTGGCTCCTGTCTAAAAACTATCAACAGTGACCCCACTGGGGATACCAGCAATAACCTCTGCACGTCTGGGCAGTTGTTACCATCTGGTTCAGAAGAGACGTGGAGAGAGGTGAAAATGAGAAGGGGATAAAAATAAACTAATTTTGCCCCATCCTGTATTTCCAAAAGTGTTTCACCTGCTATTATTTATAAATCTTTTCACTACTCCTCTGTGGGGCAGGTACTTTACTCCATGACCTCACCTAAATTCACAGGTCTGAGGAACAGCTTAACACTTTCTCTCAGCACAAATACAGCTATGAGTAGACATGAGATACTTCACTTTTTTCTGCTCAACAATCTTTGAGACAATTATGCTTTGCTTACTTATTTCCCCCTGGAAAAGATAGCTGGGATCATTTTTACAAGGGTATTAAAATAAAATTCCTAGACAACTCAACTTGAGTTCAGAATTAGTTTGGCCTTCGCAAAGGTTATTTATTTTTAACTGAGGGTTCCTTGATAAAAAGATATCTCACAAAAACAGCTTCAAGTTGGAAGAAAATGTAAAGAGCAAACAGAGAAAGAGAAATGGCTCTCACCTGCGTTGCCTGGGGTGCTTTGAACTCAAACTGAGATTCCGGCTTTGGTTTGGCGGTATTCCTGCCAAAGTGAGTGAAACAAATGTTAAGAGCAACCGATGGGGGACTGAGAAAGAGTTCAGGGTGAATATTATCACGCCAGGAGTTATTTTCACCCCCCTTAAAACAAATGAAAGAAAACAAAGCCACTTCGGACCTGGTCTCCTGGGCCCCAGGCTGAGAGGGGGTGTGTGTAGTGGTGATGGTGGCGATCTTCTCCGCATTGGTCAGCAGAGTGGCATTCGAAGACTCTGCAAGGCAAGACAGGGCATAATGGAGTGAGGGCACCAGAGAAGGCATCACTCGAAAGGAGGCATTTAGAAGCCCAATATCTAAATGGCAAACCTGGCTTCTCGGCCACCATTGCTAACATTATGGTCTATATTTCTATAAAGAATAAATTCAATGAAGACCATTCAAAGATGTTCTATTGTGTGATCCGTAATATCCCCATCATACCTCTCTCCCTCCATCAATCAGATCCACAGATAGTCTACTCAAGAAAATACTACTTTAAGGGTGGGAGAGATACTACAGAGGTTAAGGCACTTGTGTAGCATGTGACTATGGCCAAAATACTGGTTTGAATTCTAGCACTTGAATTATGGTCCCTTGAGAACCCTCATGTGTGGCCCTAGCGTGCGGTGTCCCCACCTCCCCTACCAAAAAAAAAAAAAAACCAGAAAAAGAAAAGAAAAGAAAAATTATCAGCCAGGCATATGTCTCATATTTCTTTCATCACTTAAGGGTGGCAGTTCCATGATAATACTGCACCACACCAGAATAATTTTCCAGAATTTTACAGGCTGATAATAAATGTTTATGCTAACATTTCCTATGATTTATCAGGTATGTTTAGTGAGTCTGCTTGATTTTTTTCATGTGAATATTAAACTCAGAAGTGTGATAGCATCTTGTTAAATACTCGCATATACAACATTTACTTTCCTTTCCATTGCTTTTAATGAAGCACATCTGAAAATGTGGGATTCTTGACAGATCTCATTTAGTATCACTCATTTAAAACGAATTTTAAAACTTGCATGAGAGCCAGGGTTTGTAAACATAAGTGGTATAAATCATGAAGCCATCCTAATGTAATGAATATGATTATATTCTTATGTAAATTGACTTTCTTCTCCACTAACTACATTCATGAGCAACTTCATTAATCTCTAGAAATTTAGAGATCCAGAATTTGAAAATACTCATGAGTATGTCTATAGACTGCACATCAATATATGTGCATTAAAATGTAAGTATCCACATAGTAGTGGCTATAGAATCTTTTTACCACTTTTTTATCACTATAAAAGGCAGAAAACAAACAACTAAGAGAAAGTTGAGCTTTTAAGTTTTTAAATTGTCTTTAGAACTTGGCATATGTTTTCTAATTAATAAGATGCTAAATGTGGTGCAAGGATCTATGATCATTCTGCAAATCCCCATTTAATTCACAGCGTGCCAAGATGCCTAGAGATTTCCAGGAATCCTTTAATAGAAGGCACATAGTTTTGTTTATTTACCACATGTATCTCACCCATCAAGTACTTGGTTGTCTAAGTTCCAATGGGAAAAAAATGTTAAGTTTTCTAAACTAGAATAATGAGGCTACAGACTGAGACACAGCAGTGGATGAAGGTATAGATTTTGAGGTACAGGCATGAATTCAAATCCCCTTCTTCATTCCCCATTCATTAGTTGTGTCTCATTTTCCTCATCTAATAAAAGGGGATGATGACAATAGTGCCTTTCTCATGGATTACAAAAAAATATATCAAGTGCTGTGTAAGGCAACTGACATATCCAGTAAGCACTCAAGACACTTTACTGCAGTATAGCCCATACTGCCACTACCTATTATTTGAAACTGTGAGAACTTGTGTAAAGATTTTAGAATTCTCTACAAAATGATCAAGCTAAAATATGAGTTTAGCAGTGAATATTCCAACTTTAAAATCCATGATTCATAGAGCTAAGTCAGTCGATTAGTCAGAAACTCTAACAAGCTCAAGTGAACTGCAATGTGAATCCTACTCATGCTTTCGGACGTAGAAATTTTCTACAAACTGCCACATGTTGCCACAGATTCTGAGGGGAAAGAAAAGGAACTTCTGTAGTCATTCAGGTGGGATATCATGGTGGGAGTCAGAGAAAAGTATTTGTGCATGTGTTTCTGTTTCCCCAGTGAAATCTGCAGAGTCTGTAGAATGGCTCTGGAAAGGCCTTGGCCCTTCAGGCGGGCAGCTTCTCCAGCTTTTCTGGAAGAAGTGGAGCAGAAGGGTGAGGAGATCAGATTCTAAAGTGAGGCTATCTGGCGCTTGGGCGATAGCACAGCGGGTAGGGCAGTTGCCTTGCATGCGGCCAACCTGGGGTTCAATTCCCAGCATCCCATATGGTCCCCCAAGCACCGCCAGGAGTAATTCCTGAGTGCAAAGCCAGGAATAACCCTGTAGCATTGCCAAGAGTGACCCAAAAAGCCAAAAATTAATTAAAAAAAAATAAATAAAAAATAAAGTGAGACTAGTTGTATTGTACACCATAATAAGAGAGAGAAAAATAAAGGGGGGGAAGACAGAAAGAGAGAGAGAGAGAGAGAGAGAGAGAGAGAGAGAGAGAGAGAGAGAGAGAGAGGGGGTACACTGGTGAAGGAACTGATGACTAAAACCCAATTGTGAATAATTTTGTGACTGTGTATCTCACAGTGATCCAATTACCAAAAAAAGAAATAAAAAATTCAAGCTATCTGACTCTGTGGCCAAGTCCCACACTGTACTGGTTTGCACTTAAGCAGATTTACTCAATCTCTTAATGCTTTTCATATGTAGACATGGGGGCTCACAGAAGGATCTAGGAAACCAGTGCCCCATTACCCCAGAAACTATCTGAAGAAAGTGGGACTAAAAGACAGCACTGCCTGTCCACATGATTTGGTAGAACTTTCATAACACCTATATTGGTCCTTCAAAAACTTCAGATTGCTCATTGTAATTAATTTTATGAAGAACTCTCTGGGAACTCACAAGATTGTTCAGACCACAGGGAAATCATAATCAGGATACCAAAAAGAACGTTTCCTTGTAATTAAAGTGATTATAATTACTGAATTGAACAGAGGTTCCCCTTTAGAGTTCTTGTGTGTTTGTGTTAGCCAGAGTTTTCCTGGCAGATCACATCCTATTCTCAAACAAGTTTTATATTTCCACTGCTTTGATGATAAGAGATAATCATTCACTATACATATAAATAGACTTCTTTTATTAATTTCCCTATCCTTTATTTGCTATTTTTCCCATTTAAATTTATATGCAAATCTTTCTTGGGTTGAAGCTTAACTCTAAGCATCTTTAAAATTAATTTTAATATGCAAATGTCTATTTGAACTAAATGAATTGTCCTTCTTCGGCTGTTTTTTCTTAATCTATGAGCAACCACCGTTTACTGATCATGGACAAAGTTCCACAAACTGTGCTATAATCATTACCATATGGGCAGTTTCCTTTAATTCCTACACTCAGTGAAATCACTGCAATAATTACCTACATTTTACATATGGTGCTATTGAGGCCACCTGTAGGTAGCATGTCCAGCATCAGACAATCAGCAAATGGTGGCACAGGAAATTAAACTTAGGGCCTGACTTTGAGTCTTATGTGTTTATAAGGAATTATGCCTCAGCATCCAAGAGATACTACCTAATTGATGCATTCCACTCAAAGAAGCAAAGCTTTATGTTACTGCAAATATGTCACAGTCACCAGGCAATGTCATATATTAAAATTTAAAAAAGACCCTACTTTGACTTTTAGATTCCATGGGCTATCTTCAGAACATTAAATAACTTTTAGCATGCTCTACAGTTGCACAATCCATTTTTTATGTTAAAAAGGTAACAGTTATTTTAATGAAAAAAAATTTTGCAGAGTGCCAAAACTCAAATTCAGGGTCTCACACACGAAAGCATATGTTCTACCACTAAACTACACCCGCAGTTCTCTTCCTTGAACTCTTAACTTTTAACTCTTCATTTGGAATTAAACCAAGATCATATATGATGAAATTCTTTTCTAGATTTTTGAAATACAGAGACAAATCTCATTCTCACTAATTGATAACTCTATCCCAAAGCAAAATTTTAATCATATTTTAGCACACACACATACGCATATAAAGCCTTCAGTCATAGTATACTCTGGTAGATGTATTATGAAGGAGTGTCAATGTATTTGACTTAAAACCGAAGGTAATTGAATGAATTGATCATTTTAATGATAAATCCTGAAAGTACACATCTTTTATTAAAGTGTTTATATCTGCTTTAGCTCTCCCAGGGGAATGAAAATGGATATTATATGCCTCCTATAGCAATTTTGTAGCAATAAAAGCATATTCTAGTTCTGAAGACACTATCACAGTGCTGTTCTAAATAAAGAATTAACCTCTGACAGCAGCTTCTGTTAGGTTTCATCACATCTCAGTCACAAGTGATTACAATTCTAACCTTGCTCTCCTCTGAAATCTTTAGCTTCCCTTACAGACACCCCATGACAAAGCAAGCAAATCGACAAAGGGTACATGCATTTCTCTCATTTTTTAATTTTTATTAGTGAAACACCATGAGGTTCTCTCATAAATATTTTAATGCATAAATACATATACATAAAAATCTAAGAACTGTTTGAAAAAAGTTTCACTTTCAAAAGTTTGGAGGCTTTTATATGTGTATGCTTATACCTTTCCTTTTCCTTTCCCTTCAGTATATGCTGACTATCATATACATAGAAGGTTCTATTATTAAACTTATACTATTCTCATTTGGGGGGAGTTGATCAAATTAATATGAGAACTTATGCTTCGTTGAATCTTAGGGGGAATAAAATACCTCTTTACAAATCTCAGAAAATTCCATTGTGATTGGGTTTAAGTGGGACACACTTCAACGGGCCACACACATTCCCCAACCAAAGTTGTGAGCCAGGAGGGGCTGCTGAGCACTCTGCTGGCCTGACTTCTTCTGGAGGCCTGAACTTGTGTGAAGCAGGATGCCAGGGTTTCCAGGGGCAGCACTGCCTTGTTGGCAATGCTTCTGCAGGGCTGCTGAGCTTAGTGCTAAGAATCTGACGGTGACAGCTCCGTGTCCAAGAGCGGACTGGGTTTCAACTGCCACCTGCCTCCAGGTGTAAACTCACATGATTCTAAGACTTTACCAAGGAAATACCAACAAATACGATATCAGGCACTGATTCCAATA